TGTGGCGGTGGATTTTATCTTGGTTGATTTTAGTTTTGGTTTTGGTTTTGTGGCTATCTTAGCAGTTTTGGTTTTCATGCAGGGTGACATCGTTGTCTAGCATGGAAGTTTGCAGGTATAAAAGCACAATATGAAAGTACAAAAAAAACAACGCTAAAAACTGTGAAAGCGTACCTGGCGAGTCTTCTCGTTGCACCACCTGAAACTCAAAAGGCATGTTAAGGCAGTTTATATGATGAGGCAGGGAAGTAAAATTTTGGTAGTTTTCCTAACCCTATATCATATCTTGGTGGGTCCTTAGGAGTTTAATTAAGGATAATTTTGTTAAGCAAAACATATTGAGTTTAGTAGATCTCCGAGGTATCTAACAGATCTAGAGAAAGGATCAGGTCCGTGCTACTCTCTCACTGTCTGGTGGAAAATCCAAAGTTCTCTTAAACTTATTATGTGCTTAATAATTCATACTGTAAAAACCCTAATGCTCAATGAATATTGATGTCTCAATTATCCTTAAGAGTAAAATAATTATCATCTGTAATTTAATCTTGAAAATTATGTGGGTGAAGACCCTTAAAGAGACAAGTTAGTGTTATTGGAACACTTAACCAAATTTTGACCCTAATTGGGCTTGTAGTGTTTGAAAGATGTCTTAATTTTAAATGATGTTTACTTTTCTAATTCTTATTTAAATGAAACTTGATTTAGCCTAAGTCACTACTAAGCCCTTAAGACCTGGTTAAGCTTTAGGTGGTCATGATTCATGATTTGAATTTTATTTTGAAAATCAAAATAGGGGTATTAAATCGATTAATTTTTTACTTCAAAAGTTATACCCCTAAGCCCTAGGTTCATTTTATTTTAATAAACTTCCAAATTTTAATAATTTAAAAAATTTTAACTTAACTTTTTCAATCGGGAAAGTGAGGTTGGTTTCTACCAATTAACCCCTTGTGTTTGAAACATCTAAATTAAGATCAGAGGTTATCCATTTCCCTCCTTGAATTAAGCATAAATGATAATTAAGGCTAAATTTCCAAAATTTCACATTTGCCCCTAAGGCTCTAACACTTCATAATTTGTCAAATTCAATCCAAATGACTTTGAAATTTTTATCCTATCTCATTCATGGGTCAATTAAGACATCAGAGGAGAAAATATGTTTTTTCAAAATTTAATTAATTTATATAATTATTTTCATGTAAAAATAGGATTTTCTAAAGAAAATTTCTAACTTGACCAAAGTAAATCCTAATTCCTTGAAATTTTTACTGGAGTTAGACCCTAGACCAGAGAAGCCTTTAGACCAAATTTCCTGATTTTTTGAATTTTATTTGAATTTTAAGAATTATTTTAAGTTCTGGACCATTTATTAAATATAAAATATTTCAAATGGGAAAAATTAAGTTTTGTATTTTTGAAAGGTCCTCCTGAGGTCAGAGAACTCAGAGGAGAAGATTTTATATTTTTCTGAATTTTATTTGATTTATTGGAATTATTTTTTAGTGAAAATCATTTTTAGCCTTTAAAAATTATTTTTAAGCTTTGAAATTCAATATCTTTATTTAGAAAACCAAGAAAAATATTCCAATTGTTCCTAAGTGTTTGGGAAGCAATTTAGAACATTTCCATGAGTTTTATAATTTTTTTTATTTTTTTTTAGGAATTTTTTAATTATTTAAATATTTAAAATAGACTAAAAACAATTTTTTATTTTAAATATCATTTTATTTTTAGAAAATAACCCTGATCACAGAGAACTCAAAAAAACAACTTTTTATAAATGTTTGAGTTATATTTTTTATTTTTTAAAATCATTTTTATGCCAAAAGGGCTATTTATCTTTAAAAATTAACTTAAGTTATCAAATGAACTCGAAATACTTTAAAATTTTTATGGTGAGTTCTCTGGATCATAAATAACAGTGGAGATAAAAAATCAAGTCATTTAAATGTTTATATCTTTCAAAATTAATTATCTTAGTGATTTAGGGTTTGTGAAAATTAAGTGCATTTTAAATGACTTGACCCATGAAATTATTTCCAAAAGCTCCTTTTGTCATGGTGGACCTTCCCAAATTTTCTTGGAATTTTCTAATCAACATGCTAATTTTCATGATTATTTTAAGCAAATAATGCACATAAACTTGAAAAATGTGATCCTCTGTCTAGGGACCTCCTCTGACTTTGTAGGTTTAATTCCTAACAAATGAAAAATAAGGATCCATGAAGTTAGCACCAAGTAGTTGGGATAATGTTAATAATCATGAAGATGAACTAGTAGTTTTAGCCGTCTGAACTTGTCCTATATATTGTTCATGAGTTCTATCCCACTTCTATGCAGGTGCCGCCAACTCGCGCAAAATCACCGAAGCTTGGTCGCAGGAAGAGTTGTGGTGATTCCATCAAACCATCCCCAGCCGATGGCGAGAACAAAATTACAGTCCGTGTTAATCGTCACAGCTTGGATGGTAGTAAAGATGGCAGCAAATCCGGAAGCTTTAAGAAGAGAACTCCACGTAAAGCCGAAGTAGAAAAGGAACAAGCTCCCAAAGTGGTTGAGGAATCTAGATCCCATGAGAATGAAGGTGACCAGGAAACTGCTGCCACCACTCTGCACTCCTAAACTGTGAGTTCTCACCCTTGCGATTTCTTCATGTTTATTATGTTTGCTTCTCACCGATCTGAAGAACTAGATACCAAGGTGTGCTTGATTCATGGTGGCTGTAAATCTTGTAGTTAATCGTTAAGGTTTATGTAACTGAGCACCGATAACTCTCGAGTTTGTTTCGCTCTCTAAGAACTGTTGTTGTTGCTGTTACTGTCATTGTTGCTGTTGTTGATGTTTTCTTGATATTTACCAATGGTTTTGTAATCTTCACCAAACCAATCTCTGACTACGTTTTTTTTCTTTATTTATAATTTTTAAAATTTTAATTTTATTTACCTTAGAGCCGAATTTCTATCCGATTCAAGAAATTTCATTTTATCAAACCAGCAGGGAATCGATAGAGAAAGGTGAAAGTATTCATTTTCCTGTGATGCACCAGGCATTGCTAATCATTTCTGTGTATATTGACTGGATTTGTTATATAGTTTTTGTTTCAATGTTCAAAAATATAAAGATGCTTCTGACTGAAGCTTTAACATTTGGAACTCAGAATGATTATTTCAAGCGTGTTTAGTGGGACGTGTTCCGCTGGGTTATTCATCCTTTAGGGCCTTGGCAAAGAGTTGTATTTTCGTGAAGGTGGAGTTTAACTGAGATATATGATTGTAGGAATTGTGTTCTACTTTTTTTTTCTTCAAAATCCCTTTTTTACCATGATTTCTTAGAATTTTCTTTCTTATGAAGGCTTCTTTAATTAGGATGAAATAGGAATAATCTTGCATGAACAGTATTAATGGAGTTTTTTGGAGAAAAATATGCGTTTTAAATGCTTAATGATGCATGCTGTAATGGAGGGATCAAGATGACATACTGAAAAATGATTTAAAACATGACTCCAGAAGCTAGCAATGTGAAGAAAAAAAATTGAGACATTTGCTGAACCATATGCTGAGCGAAGAAATTAAACCAATTTGTTTTTTACTGAATATGTTGTGCAATGGCTTAGATGGATAAATTAAGTTCGGAGTATTGCTATATGTTCTAATTCAGCAATAAATCAGTTTAACTAATTAAAAGGTAGTTATATTAGGCTTGTTGTAGAAAATACGTCTTTTTGTCATTTTATCCATGATATGAAAGCTTGGAAGCATTAGCCATAATTATATGGTTGATGCATGATGCATCACCCACCGTAATACTTTGTTTATAAGATGGTGGAAAACTTGCGTGATGCCTGAATTAAGAAAATTAAAAAATATATTTTTTAAATTTGCTGTCTATGTAGGGTTGTAAGCAAATCAAGTCAGAGCTCTGGTTATTTTTTAACATGAGTTTGGTTAATTTATTGAAATCAAAATTGAGCTCGGGTTTAATTTTAAGTTTTAAGCCGGTTGGCTTGGCTTAGTAAGAGAGAAAATAATATAAATTTAAATTAAGGTTATAATATAATTACGAATAGAATGAGCAAATAGGATGGATAATAACAAATCACTTGAAACTAAGTATAAAATACCATTTTAAAATATAATTTTGAATTTTAGTAATATTTAAATATTTTTTTTAAAACATACAAACTTGTGAGTAAATGAATTTGAGTTAGAGGTGGCTTGAGTTTTGCTTGTTTTGGCTATTCAAACCAAGTTAATGAGTTTGGCTTAGGGTCCGTTTGAGGCGGCGGTGTGACATCGTATCATAATTTTGTCTAGTTGGTAAATTGCATCTGTCGCTCAAATCTGTATTTTTTCATCACTTTTAGTCAGGTGCGGTGATAACTTTTAGCTACGGTCTGGCTTAAAAAAAAATTTGTAATAGCTACTAAAACTTTTTAAAGCTCAGATTATTATTCAGCAGCTAATAAGTCGTAGCTGTGTTACACCCTTAATTTAATAAAGAAGCTTGACTTAATTATACCATTAGTTTAATAATGTCAGTCTCTTGATAATTTAGTGCATTTTTTTAATTATTTAAATATTAAATTTTGGGCACGAGAAAAATGAGATAAACAGAAATATTAAACGTTTCTCCTAACCATCAAGGAGGTGACGGTCTAGACTCCCTCTTTCTTTAATTACAATAATGAACTGAATAATTGATTTAATCGAATAAATAATTGGGTATTTAACTTAATTTAATTACAAGATTTTATAGCCCATTGATTAAAAAAAATAAATTTAAAACCTCAAAGACTGGATTTCACAACTTTCATCCATCAAAATTCGATTTTAGTACATAGAAACTTAATTATATAGCTTTAATTTAAAATAAACCTCTATAATATCTCAATTTATGGTTTCAGAGAGCCATTTGAGTACACACCACAGTCCACAGATTTGAAGCCTCTTTCTTTTTGGAAGATTTACATTTATACCACCTAATTCTTCTTTTACTTTCAAATCGTATACATGCAAAATAGACATTTACTTAATTTATTTTGCGAATTTTGTTCGTTTTAATTCAATGCGGTACTTGTATTTAAGCACTTTTTTTTAAATATATTTTTGAGAAAGCACATATTTTAAAATATTATTACAAATAGGCAAAATAAAAATGCTATATAGAAAAATAAAAAACTAAAACAAAGAACTTACCAAAATGCTAGTGACAATTAAGCCATCTAAAAATGTTTGTTATCCGATATGAATCTGAAGATAATTTTTATGTTAAAAATTCAAATTTTGAATAAAAATTATTTATAACTCCGATTTCAATGAAGCCAACAATACCAAAATTGATCTAATCCGAATCAAATCAAACCTAGATCAAGCTGTTAAATCACTTTTGGATGCTTTCTGTGAATGATTAATTGGTCAAACACATTTCAAATTGACAAACTTATAGTCAAATCAAGCATCTCAGTGAGACGAATCCAATAATCTCAATATCACTTGATTCTGACATCATTAAGACTTGTTCCATTAACACTCAGAATTCTCAATTCTCACCCCCATCAAATTCTGCTCACCACTCATCAACAAGGAAAAGTTTTTTAAGAAAAAAATAGAAAACATTCATCTTTTTTCATTTTCTATTCCTTGCAGTAATTTCCACAAAACTTGAACACAGATCCAATGCTCCACAATACTGAAAACACAACCACAAAATCAAACCGTTAACTCATCACCTTCAAGCCCTCCCGCAACCTATAAGAGCAAAAGCTAAACAGCAGCAACTTCCAATCCACAATCCATACACTCAGACAAACATGAAGACGAAGCAGTTGCATAGAATCCACTCAAGCTCGTCCTCCCCAGCGCCTCTCCCGCCAACGATCCCTGCGTCGACTTCAAAATTCGAACTTGGACGAAATCTCCGGGGACTGGCTTCCTTATTTCACCATCAGCCCCAAAGGAATGCCTGAGAGGCGCACGTGTCCTCTATCTCTCTTTCCCGTTAATTCTGTTTCAGGATGCCTCTTATTAGGTCCTTCCACCAGAACAAGCTGAGTGGTTCCGATCTGCGAGTCCAAGCACCGCCCTTTGGCCTCCCTGAAGACTTCGATGATCTCGGCGAGTCGCCTTTGCTTAATGTTCTCCGGCACGTCGTCGACATAGTTCCGGTGAGCGTGAGTTTTCTCTCTCAGGCTGTAGGCGAACATGTAGGCATTATCATACCCAACGGTCTTCATGAGGCTCAGGGTATCCGCATGCTCCTCTTCAGTTTCGCCGCAGAAACCTGTGGAAGAATGGATGAAGTCGTGTAACATCAAATACAATCACAAGTTGTAACTATGACAAGAACAGGTAGAAGTTGTCATAAAAAAGGGGTGAAAATGATGCACTTATCAAAGAATCATTTTTTACATTATGTGACTCGAGAACTCAAACAAAGTGATCATGTAAATGGCATCGATTTTAGGGGGGGGAAGCATGAATCCAACTGTAGAAGCAAACCTCTTTCTCTAAGTAAGGCTATGGATGAGTTCTTCATCCATAGTTTGTCAAACTGTCAAAACTTAACTCTTCTACAAGCTTTGAAAGCCAGGTAATATTCCTCATGAAAATTATTGACTTTGAACTTTTGTTGTGATATTTTTACAGGATGATGAGTTGATGACTACAAGCCCCATGTGCTTTAGTGAATAAACCATTGTCGATTTCATCATGTCTATCGGAGAAAAAATTAAAATTGACTCCCTCAATTTAATCATAAAATACATCCATAAATCATTATTTTCTGAGCCAATAAATATAAATATTATTGAATGAATGTTAAGTATTAACATATTGGATCAAACTTGTATTTAGAAATATTTAATGAACACTTAATACTAGACAACATTCACTTTTTAAGCTTTGTATGCAAACACCTAAAATGAACATACTTAAAACATCCCAATGTGTCAAGTTAGCAATCAAAGATCATTTGCAAAATGTAAAAAATCAATCATGACATTGCCAAACCTTTTCATAAAATAAATCAATGCAAGAATCTCTCTTTACTTCTGATATTATCATCTTTAGCTTAAAATTAAGATTAGATCCAACATGGTTTGCCTTGATTTCATGTCCAATAAGTCATAGTTGAGCTTGTCGATGGTGTTTCAATCAACATTTGAATTACAAGAGAGATTTAATTCAACGCTCAAGATCTCAAGTATGTTTGATTGTGCTGCCTTCATAGCTTACATGCTGATGAACATTTTTCAAAATGTAAAAAATGTACCAAACGTATTTCCCTGATTTTTCGCCTTCGATTAAAAAATTTCATTTAAAATAAATGTAGTTTCTTCTTTAACTTAGCTTTTTCACAAAAAAATTACCCAACTTCTAAATGCATTGATAATAGACCAACAAGGTCATTTTATTAATAGTCATTAAATTGAAGGTACTTGCAAGTTCTAATCCTTACAGAATAATGAGTTATTCATATATTCTCCATTTCATAAATTGTTGTTTTCAATCCTATGGTACATAAAGAATCACAAAATCTAACTCATTTATTATGTAGTTTTAACTTCTATCAAACATTTTAGTATTGAAGCATCCATGGAGTTACCATCATCTATATTGTGTCCATAACATCACCTTCATCTGAATCTTGTACGTCCAATGCATCACCTTGATATGCATTGTGTATGTCGACATCATCATTTTGATCAATTATTAAATCAATGGAAAGATCATGTATTAACTAACCCCACATCATCTTTATTCTCATTGTAATTTGTCGATAAAATCTTTTTGGAAGCAATAGACAATAAATGACAGAAGAGTGTGATAGGAAAGAGACTAGCTTTCAAAGAGATTAGGACAAACAAAATATTTTACTTCACTAGCACAAAACAACACAACCTAAATACATAAAAGATAAACACCTACAGTTAGAGAAGTAGCAGATCTCTCCAAAACCCTAACCCTAAGATTCAAGACAACAATCATACATCTTCCAACCCTAAATAAATTATATCACATTTATACCCCACAATAATAACTGACAAATGACAAAATGTCATTTTAATCTTGCAACTAACATAGGTTTTCAAATTATATAGCGGACAACGCCGGTTTAAAAAAGTGTTAAATAGATATGGATTTCTCATTTGGGAAGAAAACAAGATTACATTGTGCTAGAATAAAACCATGAGGAATCTTATGATGCAAAGAGGAGAATAAATATCCATTACAGGATCTACTAGTAAGGAAACAAATAAAACTAGAATAAAAGGGGAAAAAGTAAATAAAAGAAACTCAAAGCAATTAATGCATAATTTTGCATATTAATATTCTAATATCCTAAAACTCCCTCCCAAGTTGAAGCCTAGATATCAGTCATATTTAACTTGGATTTGAAATCATCGAACAGTGGTCCAGGAAGATTTTTTGTGAGAATATCTGTCCACTAGCAACTAGATGACACAAACGGAACACAATTTTTTCCAGACTCGAGTTTTTCTTAATGAAGTGATGGTCAATCTCAACATGCTTACTGCGATCATGTTGGACTGAGTTGTAAGTAATGTTAATGACAGTTTTGTTATCACAAAACAATTGTAGGGGAGCGAACACTGTCATATCTAGTTCGTAGAGCGTCATGCATAACCAGAGAGTTTCACAAACTCCAATGAACACGGACCGAAATTTAGCTTTCGCACTGCTCTGAGCAACTACAAACTGTTTTTTTCTTTTCCATGTGAATCATTTGTTCCCACGCAAATGAGCAGTATCCTGAGATAAATCGTTGATCATGGGCAGACCCGGCCCAATCCGCGTCTGTATAAACTTAGAACGAGAGGTGTGGCAGGAAAAAAGTAAACCTGAGCTCGGTGTGCCTTTTTAAATAGTGGAGAATCCTGTGGACATTGGAGGTGGTGCTCATAGAAATCATGCATGAATTGATTGACAGAAAATGTATTGAGAACATTAAGAAATTTTTCATTAGGATTCATCAGAACAACCACTGATTTGCACAAGAGAAGTTTGTTCTCTGTCAAACGGTCAATCACATATTTCAGCTGAGACGGGCAAATAACCTGAGATGACCGAGCAACTTTCATGCCTAAAAAGTACCAGAGAGATCTCAAGTCTTTCATTTCAAAAGAAGTAGCAAGAATATCTTTCAGAGACTCCAATGCTAGTAGATCTTTACCTATGAGAATAATATCATCAACATAGATAATAATGATAGCTACATGGCCGCTGGAGGAATGTTGGAAGAAAAGAGTGTGATCTGATTAGGCCAGAGTGAATCCATGGCCTACCAACAAATTTGTGAATTTCCCGAACCATGCCTGTGTTGATTGCTTCAATCCATAGAGGGATTTTTATCTACATACTTACCCCTGGGAGGCAGTGGAGTGAAAGCCTGGAGGAAGAGTCATATATATCTCCTCTGCAAGATCGTCATTCAAGAACACATTCTTGACGTCAAGCTGAAATAAGGGTCAAATAAGGGTCAATCCAGATTCCTGCAAGGGATAAGCAGACTTGAATGGTGTTTAATTTAGCAACTGGAGCAAATGTCTCCTCACAGTCAACTCCATAAGTCTGTGAGTACCCTTTGACAACCAACTGTATCTTGTTGTGTTTAAATGATCCATCAGATTTAAGTTTGATGCTAAAGATTCATCGACATTTCACTACTTTCTTGCCCTGAGGAAGATCAACAATGCCGCAAGTATGGTTCCGCTAAAGGGCATTGATCTTCTCTATGACGACAACCTTCCAGGTTGGGTTTGCTAATGGAAGTTGATGATTGGTCAGAGCCGTAGCAAATGCTTTATAGGTTGGCGATAATCTGCAAATAGAGACAAAGTTTGCCATGAGATAGAGAGAGCATGTCTGATTGAGTACCTTACTAAAGGAACCAACTTCCTCATTTGTAGTAGATGCAGTGTTGGGGATGTTGTCTGGAGGGGATTCAGAGTCCGGCAAGGAGTTAGCGAGCTCCAGAGTTGGTGCATCAGAACGAGTGTCTCGAGTGTAGACTCAAAGAGTGAAAGGATGTGCTGGTGGAGCCAAGAGATAGAGGGCTCATTGGTGGTAGGCGAAGTGGTTGGAACCAACAGAACAGTGGGTTTCTTGATGATAGGTGATGTGGGAGGAACTTCCATAGGAGTAGGATAAGAAACAATGTCCAATGACTCTAGCTCCCCCTCACTAGAAGGTCGAGTTAGGAATCTAAGAAACACTTTCATAAAGGAGACAACAACACTAACAAAGATCTTATTCGTGATAGGGTCACGGCACCAATGTCATTTTAAGTGGCAGAATATCGGAGTAAAACACATTTTATGGACCTGGAATCAAGTTTATTCCGAGTTGGGACCGTGTTTTGAACGAAGATTGTGCACCAAAAAATTTTGGAATCTAAAGCGGAGAAGATCTGATTGTTAGGAAAACATGATTTCAAGACAACTATAAGTGTATGAAAATTGTGAATTTTTTAGAGAACTCTATTGAACAAATAAGTTATGATAAGAATGACATCATACCAGAAACATTTTAGGAGTGAAACATAATGGAGCTAGTGACATCGAGGAGATGTCAATTTTTTCTCTCGGCAACCCCATCTTGTTAAAGAAGTGTTAGTACATGAGCTATGATGGAGGATGTCATGCCTTGACCAAGAATTCTCTTAATATAGAGTTAAAAAATTCATGACCATTGTCAGTCCGAAAGACTTGAATAAGAGTATTGTTAGTCTGAAAGACTTGAATAGGAGTTTTAAATTGGGTCAAAATGAAAGTGTGGAAGCTTTTAAAAGTAACGGTAGTTTCAGATTTATTTTTTAAAATATAGACACACGTCATTCGAGTATGGTCATTAATCAAAAAAAGAAATCACCGTTTATTGGTGTAGCTAAGAGTGTCAGAGGGTCCTCATAAATCAATGTTAATATAGAGAAAGGAGCGGAAGGTGTGTAATTGTGGAATGGATAAGGAACACGATGATGTTTAACTAACTGATAGGTTTCACATTTGAAATTAAAATGATTTTTATTAATAAACATTAACAGATACCATTGTTTTAAATACTGAAAACTATGATGACCCAAACGACAGTGTAACAACATAATAAGTCATTTAATGGATTGAGATAAACTGCAACTACTAGGTGGAGTGTCTTCTTTCTCCGTACTTTTCTCTTAGAAGAAGTTGTTGACCTCACTTTTAGTTAAAGTCTAGTTTCCTCAGTAGTCTAGGGTCTAGCCATAAGACTTTCCTGTTGACTATT